CCCCCAGGGAGCAGGCCTAAGCCAGCAGGTGGACATCCCCTGATGTGTCCCAGACTGCGAGAGGGCACAGGCCTGGCTGAAGGACCCCCCTGAGTGCACAAATTTTTGTGCACCAGGCCTCTAGTACCCTAATAAAGAGAGAAAGAGATACCAGAGTGCTTGCTTGTTCTCCACATTCCCTCTCTCCAGTACATCCAACCCCCATCATGTGAAGGCATAGTAAGAAGGCAGGTTTCTGAAATCCCAGAAGAGGGACCTCACTGGGGGCACTCCAGAACCATGAGAAATAGATGTTTTTTTTTTTTTCTTTAAGCCACCCAGTCTATGATATTTTGTTATAGGAATCTGAGTTGACAAGGACACTTTGCAACTGCCCATTTACATTCCCTTAGTCTTAAATAGGACCTCTGTTGGTCTGAGTAGGATAGGTTTGGATGACTCAGCCCTGTGTCCCCAAGGATTCTGTAGCCCTATTCACTATGTGGTTTCAGGCCATCTCTGTTGTATTATTACACTTACTCTCAAAATTGAGCAAAGGAGTAACAAGAGACTCAAAACAGAGTTAAACATATTCCTATCTGCTCTTATCTTTGACAAGGCTCTAACTTTTCCTGAAGTTTAGATAAATTAGCTGCAATTGGCTCCTTGGGGGGAAAAATGCCTGAGGTACTCAGGAAGAAGCCATAGCTGAAGTTCATTGGAGTCAATAAGTTGTACCTTTGTCAATCAGAACTTCTACACCCACAGAGTCCAGAATTACTGGTTCTGGAGGTTCAATCTCCTCAATAGGTAACTGGTGTGATATTAAGTAAGTAATTTTAAGATCTTGATTTTTAGGCATTCTACCATGTAGAAGCACGAAACCATATTATGATTGTTGATTTAGAATAATTACAAATCCTAATAGTGACATCCGATATTTGTGAAAGGAGTTTTTATGGGTAAAATAGGCAGGTTTAGGAAGTTTTTAGGAATTAGGGGTTCCATGGGGAAGAACCCCAGGGCTGCAAAGCTGGGAGCTGCCAGAAGGCATTCACAGAATAAAGGGGCTGGGAGCTGCCAAAAAGGATACATTTATAGAAGAAAGTGAGAGAAAGCCACTCATTCACAGAATAAAGAGGAAGACCACAGGGAATAGAAAAATAGAAGGGAGAAAAGGAGGGATCCCCACGTGGGGTTTGAGCTCTGAAGCTGCTATAGTGACCAATCAGAGGGAATATCAGGACACAAAGAACTGCAGCCTTTATGAACCTTAAGAAAGAGGGACTTGGTGGATTTCTCTCCCCCTGTCCATGTGGGAGTCTGCTTGTTTCCCAATAAATTTCCACTCCTTCCTATACCACCTTTTGTCTGTGGCTTCATTCTTTGAATCCATCTGGACAAGAACCAGGGAAATCACCTCTGTATCCTGCCCAGAGGAAAACAACCCATTTTGGTTTAATTTCTGCATTTCACTAGCATGATTTTATATCTGAGTTAAGCAATTCATTGGAAATGTTAATTGGCCATGTGGTTTTTCTACCCTGCCAGCACCAAGTGACTGACTGATTGGTCTTTATACAGAACTAGAGGCCTGATGCAAGAAATTTGTGCAAGGGTAGGCCTTTATTCTTCTGGTTGTGGGCACCCAGGCTTCCCTCCGGCTGCCAGCACCTGGGCTTCCCCTGGCTGTTCTCAGCTGGCCCTGACCCCCACCCTCACCCTCCTTGGCTTGGCTCTGCCTGCGTCCACTTCCATCCCCTCTTCCTCCTCGATCGATCTATCACTGGCTGGGGACCTGGGCCTCCCCCTGCAGGGTAATTGTGAGGTGATGGCCTGGGTCTCCCGCTGCAGGCCAATTGTGGGGCGATGGCGAACCTCCCTTTCCCCCCAACCAATCGCATTGCACCCACCTTGGCTGGCCTGGAGCCAGTGCATGTCATAGCGTTGTCATCCGGATGGTCGTTCTGGTATTCGGCCATTTGGTCTATTTACATATTATGCTTTCATTATTATAGATGTTGCTTTTAAGAAGTATCAGTGTTTGTTTCTGTGTTGGGATGAGGGAGCCCATACTACTGAAATCAAGGATAGTCTACCTCTCACCACCATAGCCACCATGCTCACATGCCCATTATGCCAACATACTGGTTGCTTTCAATTGAACAAGTCATTTATCAACTAAGGTTTTACTTCTTCCATATTAGCGTACAATGGCGGAATGTGAAAATTATTTAATATCTAATAAATGTTTAGGAACAGCATCCTGAGATGTGGAATATATTGCCTCCTGTATCCAAAAGGTACTACTTAATGTTATGTTTCCTCTTTGTTGATGAGAAATGCAATAAGCACTAATTTTTTCTTTACCTTGTGGAGGTCCATTGAACCCCAATCACTGAACTCCTAAATTTCACTGACTTGGCAGTCTTTATTCTTTGTAATATAAGAGATTATTATTTTTTCTATATTGATATTCAGTTGTTCCAGCGCCATTCTTTCCCCCATTAAATTACATTGGCCAATTTGATAAAAACCAACTGACTACATACCCATGCATACATTTTTGGATTATATGCTGTTCTATTACATCTAAATATTTGTCCTTGTTCCAATACTCCACTCCCTTCATCATTGTAGCTCAGGTATCATGTTCTTCAACATTGCTGTTTCTTTTAATTTTTAAAATTGCTTTAACTATTCTACATTGTTTTAATTACATAAAAATGTTAGAATCAGCGTTTCAATTTTTACAAAAGTTCCGCTGATGTTTTAATTTATTAAAATTAATATTTATTATATGTATCCACATAAATACAAAGTATAGTTTCATTGTACATATAGCTTTATTTATTTTATGTTGCTCCAGGCTCAGTGTGCTTCTTAAATCTTAGCATTTATGCTATTTATCAATTTTGAAAAATTCATGATATTTACCCTTTTTCTTTTTGCAATTATCCTATTTCAATCTATTGCCTTTTGGCCCACCTTTTTTTCTCAACCTTTTTTAGTCTCTGTAAAATCCTCAACTTTTTCTCACAATTAACTAATGGTCTTTTGGGAAGTCTTAACTGCTTTATAACCAGTGTGTCAGAGACTAGGGTTTGTTCTCTCAATATCCATATTCCTCTTTGTAGTAATACAATTTTAGATTAATAATTGTCCACCTGCCTATTCCCAAGCCTCCATGCAAGTGCTTATGGTCCAGTCAATGAGACACAAGTAAAATTGATGCGTACAACTTCTGGAAGGAGAGGAGTAGGCCCTCCTATTTTTCTTTACCACTGGGGCACAGTCGGGTACAGATGTGATGTCAAGTTGTGGAGCAGCCATGCTGGGCACAGACATAAAAGCTTACCGAGGATGTTACAAAAAGAAATCTGATTTCATGATAATAAGGAAATGCCTTACAACCACAGGAGCCCTGAGCTGCTTGCATTTATGAAAGAAAATAAAAATCTATCTTATCTGAACTACTATTTACT